CTCTGGGTGCCCCTGCTTCGGCAGGGGGGTTGGGCTGGGTGACCCACAGAGGTCCCTTCCAACCCCTGCCATGCTGTGATTTTGTGATTCTGAGCCAAAGATGTTGTTACTCTCCCTTCTATGAACAGCCTTCTGACTTTAGCAAGTCTCAGGACTCACCCCATACATATGAAACACATCGATTCCCCTGGATTTCAGTGGTGGCCAAGGAGAAGAGCCTACACACCTTGCCTTGAGACTGACTGTTGGTGCCTGTGTGCATCATATTTGCTGTTGCGAAGATAAAGGAAAGCATCGTTTCCTTGTCTTCCAGAGGGACCAAAAGCTTTATGGATGAGTGTCTGCAACCTTTCAGGTTTCCCAGGGAAGAACAAAGTAGTAGCAAGCAGTAGTATTGGCAGCAGCACGTCTACGTGCTTCATGTGTACTGAAATACTGGCTGGTCCTTGACAAGTCTGGCTGTCCTTTGGTGCCATTACTGGCTGTGCTCCCGGGAGGAAAAATGACACAGGTAAAAGCTGTTAAAGACAAAATTCATACCTGCTTATGCCTACGTGTAACTGGCCTTCACAACACCACCTCCACCCGCAGGCCTGGCAGGGAGTGTGGCACCCAGCACCTTCAGCACCCAAGGACTGGCTCCCTAATGCCTGAGCCTTAGGACATCGTGAATGAGCTCTTGGAGGCCCTCGGAGCGAAGACCTTCTCTTCACTGCCTTGATGAATACTGAACAGCCTCTGGCCTCTGGAGACACTTCTTTCCTGGGGTTACCTTGCGTTACCCGTTCCAAGGTCGATGCGTGCAGCCTAAGGGAAGATTAGGTGCTACTTCCCGGAGATACCTGTGCGTTGTATCAGGGTAAAGGACACGGATAAAGTCTCCTGGTTTTAAAAGTTCACTGCAGCTGGAGCAGTGGCGCGTTGGTTAGCTTCCAGTCCCTGTGAGCATGAAATGAGCTCTGAAGAATTAATTTGCTACAGTCCAAGTATCGACAAGGCTGTTATTAGACCCCGTGGCAGGGGTACAAGAGTGAAACACGATAGGTGAGCTGTAAGAGGTTTTTCTCCGTCTCCTCCAGCCAGCAGCGTGCCAGATGCTCACACTGCCTCGGGGCTGGGATCCTGCCTGGGAGCACAGCTCTGGGTTCAGGAGGAAGAGGGCAGTCCTGGCGTGGGGACACCTGCGCCCACGTGCAGCACGCTCTTCCTCGAGTCCTGTCCAGATTCAAACCAAAGGATTGCTTGTGTTGCCTCACTTAATCTGGATATTACCCTTGTATCTCCTCTTAAAGGAGATATGCCTCTCTGCCTTCAAAGACGTGTGGAGCGCAGCCAGTCAAGCACCTCCTACCCAGCCAGTAAACACGACCCGTTCCTGAGCGGCCTGAAACTCAGGCTGAAAACAAGTCAGTTACTCTGGGATAAGCTGTCTCCAGCCCTTGATGATTACTTTTTGCAAAGAAACTGGTGTTTCTGACAGACCTACATTTTGGAAGACTGGCTGTAGGAATCTGCTCTTACTCCTCTGTATTTTGCAGCCTCCGAAGCCACTCACTCGCCGTGTCCCAAACAGCAAAGTACCAGTTCTGATCCTGTGCGAGGAGGGATGACGCACTAACCCTGACATTAAAGGGAGGAGCAGACAAGTACTGTCTGTAGATGAGTGAACCTTAATAGCAATATAGGTTCTGCTCTTCTGGGTACATAAATCCTACTTGTTATAAGCCCCGAGTTTGTGACTTTTATGACTGCAGCTCCATTTACCTGTGCAATAGGCGGCGGCAGCTGTGATGCCCGGTGGTAGCACAGCCGCAGAAATCGTTCAGGATGCTCTGCGTGGATCACCGTGCAGGGAGACTGCGACTTCTTCCACACGGAGCGACCTGTGGGCCAGGTGTTTGGGGCGAGTGACATTCACCTCCTGGGCTCCATTCCTGACGGCTGATGACTCATTAGGAAAATTACATCTGCTTCCCTTTCTGAGCCTGTTGCCGCCACCTGATTTCCACTGGGTCCGTTAGTCTGTTCAGGAGCCGAGCAGCCCCTGCTGGGAACGGCCACCTGGGCTTGGGAATCACTGCTCCAGAGGTCATTAGAGAGCCTTATTAATAATCATTGCATTAACCTCCCAGCCAGCCAGTGACAGAAATGCCATTTCTCCCATTTTATAGCTGAGAAAAGTGAAGCGTAGACAGATTCATCACCTGGTTACAGAGTCAATGGCAACTCTTAATGCTCCACAAATCTGAAGATGAGGCTGTCAGCAACTTCTCCTAAAGCTAACCTGCAGCAAAGCTATGCAGGAGACCCAGCTCCTACCCATCAGGTATGCTCCCTCCCCAGTTTACTGGGAGAAACCTGGACAGATCTCTCTGAATTCCAGTTCCTGCAGTCAGACACAGAGATGTGGGGGTCTGGAGGACGTGGTCAGGAGGCAGTGGCACGCAGGGAAGAGAGCTCAGCGCTCCCTGCCCGCAGCGGACGTCTCCTCTGCAGGGTGGTGGTACCCGCTTGGTGCCCACACAGGGGAGAGCCCCCGAGGAAGGGGCAAGAGGCGCTGCATGACTGTGCTTTGACAGGGGGGTAGGAACTGCCCGCTCTGACAGCAGCTCAGGTAAGTGTCTGATCATCTCCTGCAACTTGACTGTGAAGGAGTATTTGGTTATTAAAATACACAATTTTGGTTAACTCAGGCTGCTTGTGATGTCAGTACAGCAGGAACTGTGGGGGACCTGGTTGGTTGGTTGGTTGTTTCTTTTTAATTTCTTTTCTAGTTCAGTGATGCAGAAGCAAGTAGAGCTGGGAGGGAGGATGCTTAGCAACATCTGTTATAGTTCGGATATACACCGTTATTAAGAAAAGGATTTTCTCAATGCTTTATAACACCACCTTGCCACTGTCAAACAGAATTTTATGCACCAGCCTCAACCTAACTCCAAGTCGGTGTAGACATTTTGAGCAAAAGTGGTTTAACCATTTTCAGAAATGAAGAATCGGCAGAATAAAATATTAATGTTTACTGCTGTATTTAAAAAGCAGTGATCTTTTAAAGCAAAAAAAAAACGGTTATTGGGGAGAGGTGTCATCACTACAAACTACATCATTCAAGTCTTCTGAAGAGGCAGTTGACTTGATTGAACTAAAATGAGGTTAAAATCATCTAGTGATTCTTCTGTAATACTGAAATACCGTCTCCAAAGTTTCCAAGCACTACACAAACCTGAAGAGAAGTGCACGTGCAACTGCCATTTCCATGTGCGTGCGCTGAAGCAAAGCTACAGAGGAGCCTGACTTCATTTTTGACCTACGCAAGCAGAAATACCTGATTCACTGCTCGAAATTATGAAATTCCCTTCATGGGGGGAAAAAAAAAAAGATACCATCTTGCTATTAAACACCACACTGTAATGCGTGTGCCCGGGGGTAGAGTGAGGGCTGCCTTACAGCACGTCCTTTCGCTCCGAGAGTCTTTGACCTTGCATTCAGAGAGAGGGCTCTCTAGGCAAATATTAACGAAACCCTCCGCTTGGCATAAGCATGGCTAGAGACAGTTTTTCTATCACATGGGCTTGGCCGTGGCGAGGCTCAGCTGCTCCTTACCCAGCGTAGCTGCTCCCTCGACATCCCCCGAACCTGGCCAAACCCAGCCCCTGGTACCGCTCCTGGCTCATATGCTGTGCCAAAATACATCCGTGATCAGATTCATCCCTCGTGTAACTGTGCAAATCATTTTAATAAAGATGAATTTGGCCTCTCTGTCCAGGGTGATATCGTTTCCACAAAATATGATTGACATTGATGTAGTTTATGCGCCTTTATAGTAAGGAACAGGTCTGTTTAGTGGCTTGCAGTGGGGTTTTTTTGAGCATTAGCATGTGCTGCTCCCTCCATTACATTCTGGACAGCAAAAGCCATCTGTCTCTGGTCTTGCCACCTGTAGAAGATTGACTGTACGGCTTGCGAGAGTCGGTGTTTCCGTGGAGCCGCGGCCACCTGGACCTGGTGTTTGCCTGAGCCGCGCTGCTCCGCGGCGTCTTTCGGGAAGTGTGTGCCTGGCCTGGGTGGTTGCAGGGGCAGGCTGGGACACGTGAGCTGTCAGAAGGAAAAAGATCAGGGAGCCGAACACGTCTAGAGGAATCTGTTTGAGATCTTGGGGTTTTCAAACCTGGTGAATGACCGTGTTAGGGATGACCGCATTAGGGTTGACCAGCCTGGATATTTTCCAGGCCACTTCCATTCATTGGGGTTGACTTTCCTGGCGCAGACCGATGGGTTTTGAAAAATTTACCCCTCGATAGAAGGCATCTGCCAAGGAGGGCATTTCAGGGCGCGATCCACTGACCTGCTGATGGTTTCCAGCCTGGGACATTTCACGCTGCCCTGTTAGCTCTGCCAGACCTGAGCTCTGCCCGCACAGGTGAGCTTTTCCATCTAGCCCGTGCGCTGTTCTCCATCGCCCAAACCAAACCTGTGCTGCACACAGGGAAACGTCTGGCGCGTCAGCTCCTGCGAGGAGGAAGGAAAATGATGTCCTTGCTGATTATCCGGTGAGAAAAATTATCCTCAGGCCTTTGGAGGTGGCAAATAGAAGTCGCTGTCTGGACCAGCCCAAAGATCCGTCCGAGCTGGCGGGTGGGCACCGCTCCTGCCCGCTGCTTTGCCCAGCCGAAGCGGGCTCTACTCTCCCGTGTCACCTCTGTCCCCTGCGGCCCGGGACAGCCCATGGCGATGCTGTCGTGTCGCTCCCAGGCCAGATACAATACAGGTTTGTCGTGATTAAAGAAGACATAAAGTTGTGCCTGCCCTCATCCCTCCCAGGAAGTTGTGCCTGCCCTCATCCCTCCTCATCCTCCCATGGCCAGGGAAACACAGCGTGATGCCCGGGCTGGATGCTGGGGACTACGCACAAAATTCAGCCCCTGAAGTCCTCACTAGCCCTGGCCCTCACCCACCGACCTGCACCCCTGACACCTTCAACCAACCAGGTCTCCCTCTCGTTTTTACTCCCCCATGTGCATTTCTTCCTCCCCAGCTCCAACCCCGGAGTCCCCAGATGCATCTGTGTGTGTGTATCCCTCTCCTGGCTGGGCAACCTCTGTGCCCGTGTGGCTGCTTTTCAAAGAGCCATAGAATGGTTTGTGTTGGAAGGGGCCTTGAAAGGTCACCTAGTCCAACTCCCCTGCAACAAGCAGGGACAATCGTCAATCTGAAACAGGGGAGGAAGACTGGCAGGTGTCAAATCCTCTACCTCTCCCCCCATATAAACGTGGAGGGGAGCAAAGTCCTTGCTGGGTGCCTGCTTTGGAAGCAGATGCCAGTGCAGCGCGAAGAGCTGACAGCTCTGTCGCTGAGGAGGTGAGCCCCGGGGTCTGACCTTCAGCAGAGAAGCAGGGGTGGGGGCTAAGCTCTGCCCCTGCATGCAGCATCATGCCAGCTGCCAGGACCCTGGGGACACAGAAGCAGCCTTGATTGCCCCAAGCAGCCTCAGCTGGGACCCCCACCCACACACCCCGTGGGCATTGGCCCAGGAGCTGTATTTAAGGTCAGGCCTGGGCTTCTCCCTTTGTTTGGGGTGTGGTGCAGCAGCACCCATCCCTTGTTCTACCTGGAGCTTCTGCTGTGGGTGGCTGGTCTCCAGTCCTGCCTCATCTTCTACTGCTCCTGGATCAGCTCAGGACCTGACTCCTTTGCTCTGTCTGGGGGTGTTGATGGACCCTGTTACCAGCACCCAGCCTTGCCTGCTGTGGTCAGGTCCTGTGGGGCTGCACCCTTGCCTGTGAGTGTTCTGCTGGGGCAACCATTGGTTCCTGGCCTGTTCCTGTGCTCCCTGATGTTGTCAACCGTGGATGTGGCTGTGCCCTGGCTGCTTCTCCTGCCTGCTTTCTCTTTGCTAAGCTGGGTGGGTGGCAGGTCGTAGGGGTTAATGCTGCAAGGACCCCCCCAGCTGGCAGCTGCTGAATTCGGGTAGGCTGGTAGATGGCTGGCAGAAGCTGCTTGTTTTCCTTCATGTTCTCTGCTTCCTTTTTTAAACTAGAGCTTAAAAAAGTATTCTGTGACCTTGTTGCCCCCTTTGAGCTGCTGCAGCATCCCTGCGCTGCCTTGCTTACCCTCTGCGAGCCCCTGTCCCCCAGAACCTGCTTGAGGCAAGACCCACCGTGGGCTGTCCTGGACAAGGGGTTGCCTGGAGAATCTGCCCTCACTGGGACAGCCTTCAGCCCAGGAGCTGAGGATGCCTTCAGGGCAGCAGCACTCTGCAATGCTTTATTAGCATCAGGGGGCTCAGCTGGGGATGGGGAAGCCCCCCCTGCGCCCCAGGGGAGAGGCCGGGTGTGGGAGACCTGCTTCTTCTCACTACCAGCGTTTACCATCAGAGGGCAAGCTCAGCCCAGGCGAGAAGGCTCCATACCCGGTTATTGCAGCCTGCTGCTTCGCAGCCCTATCTCTGCTGCCAGGTAATGACCAGGGAAAGGGAGGCCATTTACCGTCCCTCTCGCAGGGGACAGCCAGCTTCCCATCTCTGCCTGCTGCCAGGAAGGGCTCTGCTCCCCGGTTCCCCCAAGAGCAAGTCTCGCTTGGCAGGGACACCCCGCCTGTGGCGAGTGGTGAGGGTGATGCTGCCAGCTCCAGGTCGAGTCAATTTAATACAGAAGAGGTTCCCAGAAAGCAGCAGGTTTGTGCTTTAGCATCCCAAATATAATATAACATTCCCCAGCCTCTCCTCCAGCAGAAATTGTATTTATGGCTGAGAACAGACCCTGGAGCATGTGCGAAAGCTGTGCTGGCTGGTCCTTTACTTTCTATCCAGCATCTTTCTGGCTCTTTGGAGCCACCAGTGAGAGTGGCCGCGCAACCCCAGCAAAACCAGTGGCATTAAGGGGACCTCCATGGGAGTGGTGTCCCTCAAGTGCTTCACACACATCCTGGAGGAGCAGGGAAAACTGCTTTATGCTACTGTGGCTCTGACCTCCCCCAGCAGCCCCGTGTGCTGGCATGTGGTCCTTGCTGCCAGACCCTCTGTGCTTCCCAGGGCATCTGGTGAGGATTTACATCTTGCCAGCTCCCCCCATTGCCTCTTCCAATGAATCTCAGTCTTAATCCACACAGCCCTCGTTGCCCGGAGTCTTCCTTTAAAAAGCCTGGCGCTGGAGAGCTTTTCAGAGGGGAATAATGAACCAGACGCTTTCCCGGTGTCTCTCTTTGTTTTTACAGCCGTGGGTCTCCCCTGAGGACAGAGAGCCCTTTGTCCTACATGGGGTCCCCTTACAAAGGGGGGCTTGTGAACAGAGCATCCTCCCATTGGGTACCACATCAAACTGATTTTTTTTTTTCCCACCTGCCCTCCTAGGCACAGCCAGTGTCAAAGCCCTTTCTGCATGCAGGGGACTGAGCCAATAGTTTTAACCTTGGAGATGCGTGATGTGTGGATGTGGAATCACTTGGTGCCGTCCTGCTGCCCACCCTCTGTCTAGCTGAAGGGTAAACGAAGGGTTAACCCGGTTGTCATCTTCTCCCCTGCCTGGTTGATAGTTGGAGCGAAGCCATATTTCATTCTTTAGATGGCCGATAATTGAATAAATTCTGCATCTCGAGTGAATTTAAAACCAAGACAGGAGCTCTCCCCATCAGGAGTCGATATGTTTTCTCTCGCAGGGATTTTTGTCTGGCATTAATACTGCCGCCGCCTCTTCCAGGGGATGAGGGCATGCTTGCGAGCTGTTGATTTCGCCTGATATGGGGCTTTAAATTCAGGTCTCTATATGCATCAGAGATTCCTGTTTCTGTTCCCTGCTAAGGGTGGAATCTAGGGCTTATGGCCTTAAAACTGTTAAGCCTTGAGTAACTTGCTGATGGTTTGGTGTTGTCCAGGCTCCTTGCCCAGGTAACACAGGGGAAGAAAGGCGGAGGGCTGCACATGCTGCTCAGGTGCCTGACTCTGCTTAGATCATGGTGTGGATGGGAGAAAACAATGTGATGTAGCTAATTAACGTCATGCTAATTAAATACTGGGTGGTACTTGTGTAGCCTTGCAATCACTCAGTTTCAGGTGGCAAATTCTCTCACTGTCACTTAATATACGGGTGCACTGTGGGCCTGAAGAAAGCTGTGTCCAGTAAAGTTGAGACTAGTGATATATTGAGCTGTTTAAAATATATTTACTTTGATCCTTTGTGTTTGCTTTTCGCAGATATTCAAACAAATGCTTTTGAGTCTGGGAACCGGCAGCTTTTTGGCACATGTTCATTCTGCAAACGGGGGCATTCACACCAGAAATGCGGTCCTAGGATTTCATAGCCACGCGGTGGGTAGACAGAGATGTGCCACGCAATCTGTGCCCCATCAGAAATACCTGGCACGGCTCGTGTTTCAAACTTCACTGAGCAAAATAATTGCATGGAGCTGTTTACTGTCAGTCTGCTGGCTGCATGTTATTAATAGGGGAGATGGAGTGAATAATTAGGACTAATGACTAAATTAGAGAAAGTTGTCATCTATTCATGAATAGTTTGCAGAGAGACAGTGTTCAACAATTAAACTGATAGGCAAAAATGATTCATTACTCTTTGCAAACATGTTCTGTGTTATGCCAATACGCAAACACCCACACCTGTGCCAATGTGGAGACTTCAACTTCCCCCACCCCACTTTGGTACTCAAGCTGGTGTGATGTGAT